GCTAGAATCCATTCTAGTACCCCTGGTTGATAGTTGTTGTTGTTATGCTTCTAAGTTTGCAGACATTAGCATACAGGAGAAGGGAGGGGATGACTATCCAGAAATGGCCATTGCAGCTTGCTTCCTGAAATGCCTCAGATAAAGCTTTATGGATTTCCCAGGGATTTCCAAAGTTACTTGATAGCTTTTACCAGCTGTACATGTTCTAGGAGCACTGGTACTAATTATCAGGAAGTTAGACAATTCTGTAAGTATCAGAACTGCATAAATACTCCTTCAGTGCACAAAACTTCCCTGTGATACAGCTCAGAAACTGGATTTTTGAGCACTAAATCTTGGTTTTCTGAAAGCTCTTTAAGAACAATAGCAACAATCATGGTTCTGGAATTGCATGTATTTATATGAAGCATTCAAATGGTTACTGATGCAGGCTCTCCCTATATTAGAAATGAGATGTGTAACTGATTAATTTGTCGTTGTATATTGAGAATCTTGCATTAATATTGACTTGTTCTATTTTATAGATGAGATGTACCTTGGTTTTGATCCTAACTGATACCCTAAACTTAATCTTGGACAGCTTGTACTAACATGTTACAGCATTATGCTTTAACTTAGTTCTTCTGCTTGATGTTTATCGCAGACCCCATATCTATTTTTTGAAAGAAGCCATAATTGTCCTTTGTCCCCCTGTCCTTTAGGGAAAACAAAACATGCCAATTTAGTCTTCACTCTTAAAAGGTGCTCTATCCCATGACAATTGTAGTGGTTCCTTCTCTGTACTCTTTCAGGTTTGAATAAACTTCCTCAGGCATATGTAGGACTGTGCATCTCTATCTGTACTGTCAGTATCTTCCTGGAACATCCCAGGATTTCATCTGGCACTTCCATGGCTTCATTGTGTAGATGTATCTTAGTCATCTTATGGTTAACCCTTTCTCAGCTTAAAGGCTTGCAAATGCTTAGCAGAGCTTTTTCTTGGATCTCTAACTGACTTTGCAATCCTTGAGTTTCATCCTGTGTGTATTACTCCAGGCCATTAGGGTCAACTTGTCCTTTCTTACTGATAACCTGACATGGGTTGTGTGGGTTTTTTGGGTTTTTTTTGTTGTTGTTTGGTTTTTTTGTTTTTTGTTTTAATTTTTTCTCCCCCCCTGCCCCTGGTGGTAGCTTCCAATATTGTGTCATCGTCTAAGCAGTTATCACACATGACTATTTTTTGTTGTGGTCACTGACAGAAATATTTAATATAGGAATTTATTACAGAAATATTTAATGAAGTTTAATTCCGAAATTAATCCCTATGAAGCTGTGCTAATAACCTCCCTCTGCCACATGTTTCCCATTTCAATACAAACCACTAATAAATGTACTGGTCTTTTTCAAGCTAGAAACTACTTAGAATCATAGAATGGTTTAGGTTGGAAGGGACCTTTAAAGATCACCTAGTCCAACCCCCCTGCAATGAGCAGGGACATTGTCAACTACATCAGGGTGCTCAAAGCCCCGTCCAACCTGAACTTGAATATTTCCAGGGATGGGGGATCTACCACCTCTCTGGGCAACCTGTTTCAGTGTTTCACCACCCTCATCATAAAAAAATTCCTTCCTTATATCTAGCCTGAATCTGCCCGCTTCTGGTTTAAAATGTTCACCCCTTGTCCTATCGCAGCAGGCCATACTAAAGTGTGTTCCCATCTTTCTTACAAGCACCCTTTAAGTACTGAAAGGCTGCAATAAGGTGTCCCCGGAGCCTTCTCTTCTCCAGGTTGAACAGCCCCAACTCTCTCAGCCTTTCTTCATAGGAGAGGTGCTCCATCCCTCTGATCATTTTTGTGGCCCTCCTCTGGACCCACTCCAGTAGGTCTTTCTTGTGCTGAGGGCTCCAGAGCTGGACAGAGTATCCAGGTGGGGTCTCGCTACAGCAAAGTAGAGGGGCAGAATCACCTCCCTTGATCTGCTGGCCATACTTCTTTTGATGCAGCCCAGGATACAGTTGGCTTTCTGGGCTGCGAGTGCACATTGTTGGCTCATGTCCAGCTTTTCATCTACCAGTACCCCCAAGTCCTTCTCCACAGGGCTGCTCTTAATCCCTTCATCTCCCAGCCTGTCTTGATATCGGGGATTGCCCCGTGCCAGGTGCAGGACCTTGTACTTGGCCTTGTTGAACCTCATGAGGTTCACACAGGCCCACTTCTCAAGCTTGTCCAGGTCTCTCTGGATGGTGCCCAATCCCTCAGGTGTGTCAACGGCACCACTCAGCTTGGTGTTATCTGCAAACTTGCTGAGGGTGCACTCAATCCCACTGTCCATGTCACTGATTAAGATATTAAACAGCCATGGTTGATCTCTTTCTAAGACAGAGGATGGAGTATGGTAATATTTAAAATTATATTATTGGATTGTCTATTACCAAGCTTTTAAAAATTCTGCCCTATGTTGACTATTGTGCAACTGTGTGCTATTGTATTTATGTACAAGAAAACAAATTAAGGCTATACAGGGAAGCTTGGGATTTAATACAGTTCTGTTACATGAAATCTGTGTACATTTAAACTGCTGATATGAAAAGCTCTTGTTACAGTCTGTCAGAGGGAAAGAAAGACTGATAGGGAACTTGTGGTTTTGAGCTTCTGCTTTGCAGATACAGCATACCCTCCTTGAGGCTATACATAAGTAATGGTCATCTCAAATGTTCTAGATAAAAAGTACTTATTGTCAAGCACTTCTCAAGTGAACTTAATAATTATAATTATGAATTACTCAGGTGTTGGCTTTCAGTTTAATAAGTACTCATAGTGGTAGTAGTTGAAATAGATGCCTGTGAGTGCGACCACAGCTCTGTGTGGCTTCATTGTGGTTTAATCCCAGCTGGCAGCTAAGCACCACACAGCCACTGGCTCACTCCCCCCTGGTGGGATGGGGGAGAGAATTGGAAGGGTAAAAGTGAGAAAACTCATGGGTTGAGATAAAGACAGTTTAATAAGTAAAGCAAAAGCCACGCATGCAAGCAGAGCAAAACAAGGAATTCTTTTACTACTTCCCATGGGCAGGCAGGTGTTCAGCCATCTCCAGGAAAGCAGGGCTCCATCACGTGTAATGGTTACTTGGGAAGACCAACGCTGTAACCCCAAATGTCCCCCCCTTCCTTCTTCTTCCCCCAGCTTTATATGCTGAGCATGGCGTCATATGGTATGGGATATTCCATTGGTTAGTTGGGGTCAGCTGTCCCAGCTATGTCCTGTCCCAACTTCTTGTGCACCCCCAGCCTACTCACTGGTGGGGCGGGGTGAGAAGCAGAAAAGGCCTTGACTCTGTGTAAGCACTGCTCAGCAGTAACCACAATATCCCTGTGTTATCAACACTGTTTCCAGCACAAATCCAAAACATAGCCCCATACTAGCTACTATGAAGCAAATTAACTCTATCCCAGCCAAAACCAGCACAGGGTTTTATTTAGAAGTTCAGTCAGTGATGTCTTTGTCAGTCATGTCTTTATGTATCTAAATTGCATTTTAGTACTATTACTAATCAGTTGTTTAACTAACATGGAGTTAAGAAATAAGTGTTGAGAATATAAGCAGCCCTGAATGTATCTAAATGTAAGACATCTTTCCTCTCAATTCTTAGTTAAGAGACGCCTTATGTGTATTTTATAAATCTGCCTTTGTTATGGCAGTACAATATTTTGTGTCTTGGACTTCTGATGAACCCCAGTATATAGGACTTGTGCTCTGGCTTCTTCATGCCTCTCTCTGCTACCTCAGGCCATCACTCGCTCTGTCTCCTGTCTGTATTTCCATCTCTGGGTGTTGTGGGATCATAGCAAATGGGGAATTGAACTCAATAGAAATACTATACTACAAAATATAAAGGATGTTGAAGATTAAATCTGCAGAGGGTCCTGTTTGAATTGAGTGTCCAGGCTATAGAAACCTAATGTTAAGCCAAACTTCTAAGTTTCTGTGTATTCATTCAGCTTTTTAATGACTTTTCATTTTTGGAGCTTGTAGCTGAAACTTAATTTCAGGAACACCTAGTCAGCAGATTTTTCTTCATCTGTTTAAGGAATTACGTGATTTAGAGCACTTAATTTTACCCTCAGTGTTGATAAGTGTTTGGTGACTTATTTCTACATAATAAATTCTTAATATATTAGGAAATGTGAATATATGTAGTACTTGTAACTTGTTTTTTGTCTAATAGTGATATTTTCAGTAGATTATATATAAAGCTTTGAATCTTCTGGGAATTAAAGTGTTCTTGATTGTAATCTTGTAATTCTTCCAGTAAACTCCGGTAGAGGCTGTGATTAAGCAGTGATGTGTTAGGCTTCAGTTTCTTTTTGTACCTTTTAAGCATGTGAATAGTCCCACTGACTTTGTGGTGGTGGCAGGGCAGAGATCTGTGTTATGGTGTACTTACTAACTTCAAAATTTTCATTTTAATGTTTGTAGTTGGTGTATGAGTTTTTCCTGAGGTTTTTGGAGAGCCCGGATTTTCAGCCCAGTATTGCAAAGCGATATATTGACCAGAAATTTGTACAGCAGGTATGTAGAGAGTTTTGCCCCCTCAGATTTAAAGATCACCTCTCAAGCTTGACTTACAGATGACTGTACAGCTAAGGAGAATATTAAAGCTTTCATGTTGACATAGGGTTAAATTTTAGTTGTTTCAACAGTGGTTTCTGCCAAACACTAAATAAATAGCACATCATACCACACAGGCTATATGTAATTAGTAACTTCAGAAACACTTTGTTTTCAGATGTCAACCTCAGTGCTTTGCAATGCAAGATATTTGTAATTTGTAAATACACAAGGTGTGTTTTTAATGATTTGTAACTTCCAGTCAAATCAACAATGTGCTAATTAAACTTTGCTAGTGCTTTTATGTTTGTTTTTTCATAGATTTATCATGGGAAAACTTAGAGCAAACTTTTTTCCCGTAAAAAGTTCATGTACTTACTGTGTTCCAACATCTGATAATTTGTGACTAGATAGTGTTATTCTCTTTACTATTGTGTGTTAACCACAGAAGGAAAATCAAGTAAGAAAGTACATAGGAAAACCATGCTTCACCATGCAAAGTAACTATGAGCAAGAAGGTGAAGTGAGATTTCATATTAAATGTAACTTCTCAAGGAATTAGGCTGTAGAATACTGTAACAATTTTTGTCCAAGGTTAACTCAGTGGGGATTTTTTTTTTTTTTACCATGTCAAAATACTTGTTTATCAAGGAAAAGCTCAGTATCTGAAGAGTGAGTGCTGGCAGGCCATCACAGTACAGCAGTGAAAAGTACATAGGTGGATGCTTTTCCTTCCCACCTTCAGTGACTGCATTTAATTTCCACTTGTTTGGTTTTACTGTTCTTGTTTCTAGTTGTTTCCTTCTTCTCTGTTTTATTCAACTTTCCCACAGAATTTAGGCCTGCAGCTGATGCTGAACTGTTGGCTGTGGGTATCCACTTTACTAATTGACCCACAGTTCTTAAGAGCCATGTTGCAGAGTTTTAATTCCTGACATTTCACTTGATCTTTCTCTAGAGTACAAGAAAGACAATGCAATGAACAGCTAGCTATATATGGGAAAAAAGTGGAGTAGTGACCCTGAGAAATTCCTTCTAAATATAAAAACGAAATGAGCCTGAACAAAGCTCCTGAACAGCTGTTTCCAGTCCCTTATGCTTCTTGGTGTAGATACACCTAAGCTCACAGATCTGGACTGAGTAGGAGACCGTAGTGACTGCTTGAGCTAAGTTACTAACTTGTTTAGCACAGTTAACGTTTCTGAATATGCTCTTACTTGGACATGCAGGAAAAAAAAAAAACTAAAATAGCGGTCTGTAATGGGGTTGAATATCTTCTGATGTCTTCAAGTGAGTATGGTCTTTACTGTATCCTGACATCAAAAAAAATTTTTGGTTCAACTGATTATAATTTTTCTAATGTAAACTAAAGATAAATCCAAATTGGTTAGTAACATAACAAAATTTAAGTTTTTCAAAAGTAATACATTTCAATTTAATTTTTAAAGTTGTTGGAGCTCTTTGATAGTGAAGACCCACGAGAACGTGATTTCCTAAAGACAGTTCTTCATCGAATTTATGGAAAATTCCTCGGTTTAAGAGCATTCATCAGGAAACAGATTAACAACATTTTCCTCAGGTATGCTGTGTGTGTGTGACTAGGTTAAGGAATATTTTATCTTGCCTTCATGGTCTGGGTCTGCAGTGATTTATTCTTGAAACAAGCACCTGGTTTTGGTCTGTGACCTGGCTTTCAAATATTTGAAGCTTATTAAAGGTTATTTCTTTGGAATCTCTGATCCTCTGTTTCGAGTCTTGATGGTTGTCTTTTTTTGTAACAGGTTTATATATGAAACGGAGCACTTCAATGGTGTCGCTGAACTTCTTGAGATATTAGGAAGGTAAGTTAGATCTGACACAAAAAGTAGAAAATGTTATTGTGGGTGTTTGCTTCAGCTTTCTTGCTTTGGGAATGGACGGGGGAAAGAGAATTATTACAGTAATGCGTGACGAAGTGCAGTCACTGATATAATCTAATACTGTCTGGGTTACCATGTGAATAGCAAATTAGGATATAGAGTATAAATTATCCTTTTTCGGTGCAAGTGTTAAAGATGACTGGCAGAATATTTCTCAAGGGTCCTTGTTTGTCAGGAATACCCACTCTTGCTTATCTTATGTCTGATAGATGACTTGTTCTTTGATTCAGAAAATGAATGTTAACTTTTGCCTTCATGCTGAATGAAATGCTTTAATCTTCAGCAGGCTGGTTTTCTTTAAATTCTCTTCAGGAAAGCTTTGTAAGTGCTAGGGTTTTTTAGTTATCTTTTTTGACACTATTTCACTAATATAATTTATAGCATTTAAGTTTTTTGTGGTAGTATTTTACTGTGTTTTCCAAACCTGTCACATACATTTCACAGTAGAAAATTTTATAAATATTACTGGTCTAACTGAAAACCCAAACATTGTGAAACTATTTTGGAACAAATATTCATGAAAATCAAGTGAAAAGGGATACTATTATTTTCTCAGATTTACCTAAAATGTAAGGGGGGGGGGGGGAAGGGGAAGGGAACCCCAACCTCTTCCTGAAGGACTTTTGTGTGTTCTATGACTCATCAACTCTTAAAAATAAGATTATTGAATCAATAAGACAACTTTTTAACTTTTGTTTTTGGAGGGAAAGGTTGTTCAACAATCTCAAAGCAAATGTTCAAACTGCACTGTTAAAATAGTTTAAAATCATATGCCATCTATTCTTTTCATCTGCAAGTTGCTAGTGATTGTGGGTGAAATGGATCAGCTTCCAGATGCATCTAAGCTTTACAACTAAACAGCAATACTTACTGTAGATGATTGTACTTAATGGAGGTCACAATAAAAATACTTCAGCTCATCTAATGAGTATTACTTGACTTCTGCTATGGCTCTCTGGTATTCTTACCAAGAGTCTAAACTTGCATGATACCAATGCTTTAAAGGTTGTGCATATGTAGAGCTGTTTTATGGCTTCAAAATAATTTGGTTGAGAAATTGAATCAGAAATGGAGTGTCTCTTGAATTTACAGAAGTTTTTGACTTGCTAGGAAAAAAATATTTTTTTAATAAAAATAAATCCTGCTTATTCATGTTTTCAGTATTATCAATGGTTTTGCACTGCCACTGAAAGCAGAACACAAACAGTTCCTTATGAAAGTTCTGATTCCTATGCATACTGCAAAGGGATTAGCTTTGTTTCATGCACAGGTAAGCTTTTGCCTATTTTTAAGAGTGGTGGGGTTTTGTGTATTGGCATTTGAAACGAATGAAACTTAAAGCAGCATGTGTTATAATATCAATATTCCAAAATGCTTGCAAATTCAGTCACTTTTTTAAAAAAAAAAAGGAATTTGCAGATCTGATGCCTAAATGTTAATTTTGATATAGTATTTAGCATATATTAAAAGTGAAAGAATATAACGGCGAGTCAAAGTCATGTCAGCTGCAGTGGGAAGCTGTTTTGCTTGCTAATTTTGTCACACTTTTAAGCTTCATTTAATCCCAGGAGCTTGTTCTGTTATCACTTCCTTTATGTAACCTAAATGCTGTGTATAAAGGAACCTTGAGAATGGCCAGGTACTTATTTTAGAAGTGCTTTTTTATTTCTAAAACGATTCTAGTGATGTGGAGGGGAGGAGAATATTGGATATAAATGGCAGAAATGTATAGTAGCTCTCTGGATCAGCTAGAAATTATGTAGATCCATGACATGCTGTCAGAATGCTTTAGTTCTTCATTCGACTTCCATTCTTCTACTTTGCACAGACGTTTAACATTTTATTCGAGGAATAATGTATATCCTTTCCAGACATATGGCACTTGAGTATTGAATACATTTGATGCAGACTTGCAAGTAGTTCTGCTATGGCTAATTAAAGACTTGCTTTGTTAACTTAGCTCACTAATACAGCTCCTTATAGACTAAAGGTACAGGGAAATGAGTTTCTAATTAAGTGAAATCATTATGGCTATATAGCCTACAAACAGGATCAAGTCAAGAGCTCAGTTAATTCCTAATTCTCCTATAAAGTTTAAATTTAATTAAATCACTTGTCTTTGTGGTTTACTGCTATGCAATATGCTGCTCTGCAGAATGAGTCAGTGATACGAAAGGGACCAGTCACTTGCCAAAGGTATTCTCACTGATAGATCAGTACAGCAAGCTATCCTTTTTTTCTGTATGTTTAATCAGGTTCATCAGTGCCTGAAAGGGTCCTGTTAATTCAGCTGTATTGTGTACCTGAAAGTAGCATTTGGTTTGCTGACTGGGCTACTCATCTATCCCTTCATAACCCACTAGTGCCATGTGCAGTTTCAGCACTATGTGTTTCTGGTTTCATATTATTCTGAAGTTGTAAACCAGGATTAAGTCTGCTTTGCAATGAGGAGTGGCCTGGTTGCTTTGTAGCTACAGTGCAAGTTTAGCCTACCCTTAAAAGTTAAAGCCTTAAAGCTGAATTAAGTTTGAGTCTTTGTGTCTTTGAACAATAAAGCATTACTGTAGAATATATATATAAAATGGGATTTTATGAGCTTAATGTGTGACATTTATTATTTTTTGAATCTACCCATACACATCCTTGGCCTAAGGGTAAAAGAAATAAATTAGACCTGTTGTAATTACAGCATTGTAATTATCTGCTTTGGGATAACAGATTAAAAAACAATGGAAAGGTAATGCTTGAATTCAAGCATGCGAAGTATTGAAATGTACATGCAATGCACGTAAATAATTTTTGTCTTTGCTTTATATTGTGAGATGAAAAATACTGTGATTTCTTAAAATCAGTCTTAATGGAATCTAGGATTGTAACTAGTAACAGGATTATTGTATGGTTTCTGTACTGGGCAGAGGTATGGTTGTTTAGTTACTTAACTATGTGCTAAGTAACTAAACAATAAGTAATTACATAACATATAATATCACACTTTGGCCTGAGAAGACCCCTGGACAGAAATCACTAGAGGCTGGGAGAGCATGCTGGTGACTTAATCACATTATGCTTTCCCCACTTCCTACAATATTCCACAGGCATTTGTTGTTGGCCGTTGCTGGGGACAGGATACTCAGCTGGACAGATGCTGCCTGATCTCTTGTGGCCATGTAATATGTTAAAATTCTTTCACCTGTAATCTTATCACTGAATGTTGTGTGCTGTAGATATCTAGTACTTGAGTAATGTGTGCTCAGTCAAACCTGTTTTAAAATTTTTTTTTTGACTGCAAGTATCACCTTTTTTTTTTTTTTTTACCCCAGTACAGGTGTTTGAAAATGATAGCTTTGTAATGTTAATACAGGAATTGATGTTGAGAAAAATCTGTCTGGATACTGGATCTGAGTTAGGGAAATATCTGTCAAGCTTAAAAGCAATTTTCTTCTATGATGAAAAAAATGAAGATTTTTGGTATGCAGGAAGTTTTGTAAGATAGAGCAGGCCTGGATACCTTGCTGTTTTGTTTAGTTTGGAAGAATTTAAAATGGCTGTGTAGGGGTGTTTTGGGTTGGGTCCATCCCCCCTCACGATCTGAAATGCTTCCATTATAATTTGTGATATTTAGTTATGCTGCAATGTCTAAACAGTGTCTGTTTAAAATAAATAATCGTATGACTTGCATTCTAGCTCGCCTATTGTGTTGTACAGTTCCTGGAAAAAGATACAACTTTAACAGAGCCTGTAAGTGGTTTTCAGTTGAATGTTTCTCTATTTTTAATTTCAACAAAATATTTCAGTGTAACTTGTTAGAATTGTATAGCAGTGCTATCTGTGCTATCTTGATTAATGATCCATAGGTGCTTTGGGGGGAGTGGGGAGGGGGAATAAATCTAGAACAGTTGTTAAGAAAATTCTGGGTTTGAAAGGGCAGTTATCTCTTAGTCTGCGACCAAGACAGAGCACAAATTTAAACAAAAGTTTGAACCGCTGATAAAATGTGAATTACCTCATATGAGAAAGCATGTAACAACTGTATTCCCTCCTGGTAAGAACTAAAATTTCAATGGTTTTGGTGCTGATGGCTTGTGCCTAGCCACTGCATAAAGTTGAAATATTTTTGGGAATAAACAATCCCAAAATAAAAGTCGGAAAGAATAACAACACTTTATTTAGACAGAAAGAACTCTGAAATTCCAAATGCGATGTTTCTGTTCTGTCTTTTCACTTACTGGGGTGCCTCTTGGCAGTTACAATACAGGTGCTTCAGGCATCGGTGGCTTTTGCCAGACTGAATCTCCCATGATAGATATTGACAGCTCAGCTAAAAAGGGGTTTGCAGCGCTTCATGCAAGGGCTTTGGCCCATAAAGAAGAATGCAGGCTCAGGGCAGTGCAGCGGCTCATGAGGGCACAGACTGATGTCAGACCAGCCAGAATAGAAACTGGTTTTAGTTGGACAATCAGAAATCTTTCTGTTAGGGGTATGTTGATGTTTAAATACTTTATCCCTTTTTGTGACAGAAAAATGAAGAGCTTATGCAAAATCTAAATTTTTCTATAAAGAAAAAAGATAAACAGCTTTGTGGAAACAATGTAGATCTTCACCAGTCTTTCAGTGGAAGCTTGTTTTCTGTACAGCCGCTTAAGTATTGGTGTTCTGCATCAGAAGACAAGTTGTTCTGTAGGTGGTGGAAGGTGGTAGACCTGGCTGTTTATAAATTTGCCCTGTCTGCTTGAAGCATCTTCTTTCCCCCTGTACTGCAGTGTTGCCAGCTACACTGGTCAATAAGCTTATTTTGTTGGATAGGGCGAGGAGAAAGGAATTGTGTAAGCCTTACTGCTTAAGCCAAGTGATAAAACATCCAGGCATTTTGACAGTTGATGTGTGAGCAGAAAATGTGTAATATCACATAAAAACCTGCAAGATTGAACAAAGTGACAACGTGACCAAGTCGGAACTTCCTGATAGGAATTTACAGAACTGTGATGCAGGATCCAAGCCCAAACTTTGAAGCTTTTTGGAGTAGGAGTGCCATAGTGCAATTCTGGACTATAGTATATACAATTCTGGTTGCCTCTTAACCAATAAAAATGGATTCAGAATGGAGAAGATACAAGAACTCACTGCAGAGTCACTGCCTGTGCTTGCTTTGGTCATTACTCTGAGCGTATAGTAAAATTGGCTTTACCAAGGAGTAAAAGTTAATAAGATGATAGGAAGTGAAGCTTTAAGAAACTTTCTGAAATGCTTGAAAAGTAGATGTTAAATTTGGGGCAACTGATGAGATAGCATCTGGAATTTATTTTGGCTTTAGGTCAAGTAATATTTTAAGAACTCCATCAGAAGGCTGTCTTCATGAGTACCTTACTATTATTTTTCTGGCAGGAGTTGTCACTCAGGGTCAATTTAGAGGACATTCAGTCTGAGCTCTTGTAACTATGGTAGTCTGCCTTAGGTCAGTCCTGATGTTTGCAAAGCTGACAAGAAGAGTTTGTTGTCTAACCCTGCTAAGCGCAGTGGCCTTTACATTGAGGAAATCAGGCTAAACATGCAGTCCTTGTACCTAAGTTTTCTAGCAGGTGCCTACTGTTGTAAGTCACTTTATGGGAATTTTGTAGCTCAGGGAGAATTATTAATCTTAAGAGTTTTGTGTAGTAAGAGCAGCAGGATTTCAGGTCTGCATTCACGTTGAATATCTCTTTGAATAAAATACTTGAACGTAAATGTGCATGTATCAGCTTTTTCATATGAAAGCATAGTCAAGCTGGAAACTGATACTCTCTCTGAGGAGCAAGGAATAGGTATCTTGTTGAGGTCTGCACTGTTAGAACATGTTATTTCTTTATCAGGTTGAGAATATGAGTCTGTGTAGCAAAGTATATTCAACACTCTTAGGATAACAAGTGCTGGAAACTGAACTCTGCCAGCTAACTCAATTTTATGCTTTCGAGACCAGTAAATTCATGCTCCAACTAGGGGTGTATGGTAGGTTCTCACAGCTTTTCTTTGGCAAATGTGCTTGTCTGAAATTTTGTGGCTTACTTGCATTGTTCTGGGGGAAGGGAAGGTATTGGCAGAATGAGATATTACACCTGTAAATGTTCTTTAAAAATGCAAAAATCTCAATAGTATATAACAGAGTCATTCAGTTATGAGCTAATTAACAGGAAATGGCCCTAGATTTAAAGTGTATTTACACAGGCCACTTTAAATTGTGAATCTAGAGAAACAAATGTAATTAATTCATGCAAGTCTGACTCCTCAGGGGTGGAGGAGAAGCGGATGAGTGAGGGACTGCCAGATCAGGTAATTGCAGCAAGGTGGTGGAACTCAAAATTTCTCCTCCCTGCTCACTGTGCTGTCAGCCCCAGCTCTTCCACTCTGTCCGTGGAGGCAGCAAGGAGGCCAGGTCAGGGAGGGAGCTCTGCCCCTGCGGACCAGGCAGCAAAGTTGTCACCTGCGCAGGTTGATGCAGGCCCCCTGCTCCTTCATCAGGTGTCAGGTGATGGCATTTGTATTTGTTGTCTGTAGCTTTCAGCCAGCCAGGTAGAACTGTATGGTCGAGGCTCTGTGAGGAATCTGTTCTTTCCTAGTAACTTGCTTGCTTTTTGTGGATTTGAGCACAGGACTTTGCCAGCTGCCTAAGGTTTCTGCATTTGCTCATTGTCTTTTGAAGTGACATTCAGTTTTGTAGTAGCAGGATATGTGTGTATCCTAGGATAAAGACTTGTGGGCACTTAAAATCACATTAAGTTTTTCTCTGGAAAGTCACTTTTGATAGTAAACATAGTTGTGGATAAAACAGCCAGCTGGGAAGCTGGGGAAAAAAAAAAAAATCAACATGGCAGAAATCAAATATGGAAGGTATTAAAGTAGTTGAGTAGTTTTACAGTTGGATATGATCAGTTAGGAGGTGGTGTATCATAAAAATAGAGGTCCTTTCCTCAGAATGGAAGTTTATAAGGCTCTGGGAATGTTTCTGCTTCCAAAACATACAGTTAGAGGGGTTTTTTAGCCAGCATTAATTTTGTAATTTAGATGCCATGTCAAACGTTTGTTTCCAGGAAATGGGCCTCCAGCCTTTGTTTGTTGTGTGGTTCCCCCCATCCCCTTCCTCTTGGGGGCTGTACTTTCTAATTAAGTTTCACTGGTTTTTTCCAGTCTTGTGTAAGATAGTTTCCAGTGTAGATACTGGAATATACTTTCTCTGTAAGTTCACATCTTTTTTTTAGTTTCCAGTCTTCAACATTTCAAATTCTAGAAGACAAAAAGAAGTGGTGGAGGCCATGACTCCTCCGTATAGCCCTGTTTGTGCAGTCAGCGTATCCTGCTTGCTCTCGGGCTTCAAACCTTGACACCGAGACAGGTGCTCCCCAAAGTATGGATGAGTAGAAGACAAAAAATATTCTGGCAAATGTAGCTACAGGGGACTTAATTTAATTTTGTGATGCGTCGATGTTATCAGCATCCTATCAATTAACGTGTGTACTGGGATGGGAGCGGAGGGTGAATGGATAATCAAAGACTTGTGAAGTGATAAGAGTCTAAATTATTCTGATAAACTAAACAAGATAAATATTTAAATGAGATAGCACAGTATTTATTTTCAGTGGAACTACATTTAGCTGTATTCAGTTTTCATGCAACCTCTGGATAAGGAAAAGCAAACTAATACTTTCTATTACATATATTTGATAAGATTACAAACTTGTTCTGCTTTAACTTGTTTGTATTTTTAATATAGGTAATCAGAGGACTGCTCAAATTTTGGCCAAAAACTTGCAGTCAGAAAGAGGTTGGTTTTGTCTTGTTTCCGGCGTCTGCTGTGATGTAAAATGTTGTGTGGCAGGTTCATGTACCTTACCTTTGCGGTGCTTTTCAAGAGATCTTGCAGAAAACTTGCAGCTCTTGAAGCTTCTTGAGGCGTGTATCTCTGTCATGCAACTCATGCGATTGTCTGTTCTTACTATGGTGTTACTATGTTAAAGTTATATTAAAAGTTGCATTCTAATTAAGATATTGTATAGAGAAACAATTTTCGAGGTGAGAAGTATTTCAGTAGATATAGACCAGGTTGGAGGTAGTCATCTGCAATGTGACACAGACTTAGCATTTGAGATACCGAATAAGGGTCTGGTAAAGCATACATACATTCTTTTTCTGTAGTATAAAAATAACTTTAAATGGTCTTGGGAAATCCATTTTTTCTGGCTATGTAGTTAAAATGAGTTTAAAAATCAGGAGTTTGATTTATACTGCCAGATCCCACCCCCCGACAGCTCTTTAAAAGTGGGGCCCCTTAACACTGTTGTCCCTGTTTGTGAGTGGTGTTAAATTTCTGTGCCACCTACGTAGTGTTCTGCTGGTTGTAATTCAAAACGGGAATTAACTATTTATCACTTGAAAAGCTAGTTTGGAGATCTCAGATACTGGTAACCTCTGCAGCCATTCTTGAAGAAATAAAATGTTCTAGTGGTTTTTTAACTGTAAAAAGACATACTCTGCAGAAGCAGTTCTGTGAAGTGTTTAGAGCAATTACACAAAAGAAGAAATCCAAGATGAGAGCTCTAACCTGGTAGCTGAAACTGATGATTGACTTCTTTCAGGCTGCAGAAAAACCTGTGGATGTCTAATGCATTGTAATTACATACGGTGTTCTTTGCAGGATTCATGACTAATGTATAGGCTGTATTTTGTTTGTGTCTGTGTACAATGGCAATATAAAACATTCTTTTATGTTTTCTCATACTTTCCGATATATTTCTTTTATACAAACAGGTAATGTTTTTAGGTGAAATTGAAGAAATCTTAGATGTTATAGAACCGACACAATTCAAAAAAATAGAAGAGCCTTTATTTAAGCAAATATCCAAGTGTGTGTCAAGTTCACATTTTCAGGTAAAAAAAAAAAAAAGTATTAAAAAAAAAAACTTGTAGTAATTTATTTTGTGGCTGTTGACCCCTAAACTTTGTGTTTCAGGTTGCAGAAAGAGCTTTGTACTTCTGGAATAATGAATATATTCTTAGCCTGATTGAGGAGAACATTGATAAAATTCTACCAATTATGTTTGGCAGTTTATACAAGATCTCCAAAGAACACTGGAATCCGTATGTAATGTTTATCTTTATCTATAGTACCATAAATAAATTCTCCACTGTTTCAGGTTTGGATCCATAAGCTTGTAAATGTGATTTCATTTTTACCTAAGTCAGGTGATACCAATGAAATTATGGGTGCTGAAATGGACGTCATTGTCAGCTATTATCATGCTTTCACCGTTCTGCATTGCTATGATGGAGAACTGGAATTTACTGAGAAAGTATGAGGAAATTGGATGATGGTCTCAATACTGTAATCACATTTGATCTTGTGTTAGCTACAAATGCAGATTAATACTACTTAGACCAAAACAATTGCCAAGGGATGCTTCTGCTATATTTATGCTTTGCTGTCCTTTACTATTTTAGATTCATAAAATCCTGCCAGTGTCTGTGTAAGCAGTTATTGCTGCCCAGTGAGATAAGAAGGGGGAAAGCTCCTATCAGAGAAGGGCGGTTGCCTACCACCATAAAGTATGTTAGGAATGAGAAATGAGTGACTCCTTCATCTTACATTTAATGCCGCAGGCTAAGTGTTAGTATTTTTATATCACGCTTAAAAGAAGCAGTAATGATATTGAAATACTAAAACGCAAAGTTTGCTTGTGTCCGGCATCCTGAACTGAGTTGCAAGTCAATTTGTAGTATGTAAAGCTCGTACAGGCAAAAGCCAGTACAACTTTGACATTACATCAGATGTCCTATTTTAAGCTCCTGGAGGCTCTGAAATTATGCTGAATTTATCTAGATGGTGTGTCTAGTTGCACATGTATCAGCTGAGACTGAATAGAAATTTTGGAGAACTAGTTCTTGGAGCATTAATAGTACTTGGGGCCTCAACAAATTTGAAGGATGTCCCTCTTAAAAAAACAGACAAGAGTTGCTCCTTTATGAAGGAAGTGAAAGACACGGGATAACTGTATACCTGGAGGACTAGGAAGTTTGAGGAAGAAGAAAGTCTAACCTTTTGGGTTTAATCTGTTTTGGAGGGCAGAGTAACATCCATTTAGCTTTATGATGTGGACTTAACTACTTGCTCAAAATCACACTTTTCCTCTGAGAAAACCAAAACCCCGAATAAGCTTTTGTCTTCCAACCACATGAAAGCCAGTGTTCAAAGGAGAGAGAGAAAAAAAAAAAAAAAGGTGTCTGGACAGGCTAAGTGTACTGTGCCTTTTGAATGAGCATAGACGTCTGATGAATAGCTGGGAGATGTCCTAGTGCCACAATGGACAGTGTACTAAAAAGGCAAACTTGGTCCTTTGGTTACTTCCTTAGATTTTTCTTTCACTCATTTTTCAAGGTCACACGACTGCATGGCACCCCTGCTCTACAACCTTACAATCAGTACTGCTGCGTGAAGGTGAACTGCTAGTGAGGGGAAAGATGGGGAAGACAGTTTACCTACTTTTTTTTTTTTTTTTTTTGGATTAGTGATAAGCTTAATGATAGGCACCTTTTTGATGTTTAATTTTATTGCTATTTTGGCATTTCTGTGTGTAAGTTGGGTTTAAAGGAGATGAACAACGCTATATTTAAGACAATTTATTGAAAGAGGAATGCCTTCATATAAAGAAGAGTAATACCGAACGTGGAAATACAGCCAGCTTTGCTCAAGCTGTTTAGCTTCTTAAAGAAACTAAGGTACTGGAAACCATTGCCTGGTGTTCTCAACTCAGTTCTCTAATGGGGCATTATGCAGCAGAACTATCTGCTGCCCAGAAACACTTCCAGTAGAGCTTTTAGTAGCTCTATTAAACCATGTGCCTGTGGTTCCCCTGCTGCATTCTTTTGCCCAGGCTTGAAGCTATTACCCAGAAATTTATTTTTCTAGACTCTTGTATTTCCTTACTCAAATAGTACAAAATTGTTGTTAAAACGCAGCTTATTAAACGTTAACATAATTGAATGGCTTTATAGTACAGCCACAGTCCCAACAATTATATCCTGTGCAATTACAAGAGTCAGGAATCTAAGGTTCAACAGCCATTTCAAAAGAAGGTTAAATATGCATTTTATTAACTTAGAGGAAATTATAGTATTTTGTTTCAGAAACTCACTGACCTTACAGTAGTATCTTAAATACTCAGAGTCCAAAAAAGAAATTGAACGCTTGTTTACCGCAGTTAATTTTGGCTCGAGTGATTCTAATGGTCGTGTTCCTTCTGTTCCAGAACTATTGTGGCACTGGTATATAACGTGCTGAAAACCCTGATGGAAATGAATGGCAAGCTTTTTGATGAACTTACAAGCTCATACAAAGCAGAAAGGCAAAGGTAGTGATTTTTCTTCCAAATGCACGTTGATGAATACTATCTAGAATGTACCAGCTGAAAAGAAACAGAACTTAACTGTTGTGGCTGCGGGGTTCTGTAGCAGAACCGCTCATCAAGTATTTGCTGCTGGCTGTCACTTGAGTAAGAAGCACCCGCGCAGGCCTGCGTCAGTGGCGTGGTGGGAGCTGGAGCCCGGGGAGGCGTCGGGGAGGCCCCAGCTCCCGTCCGGCCTGGGCAGGGAGCGCTCTCCCTCCCGTGCGGGGAGCTCGTGCTGCGAGGGGCCGCCTGCTGCTGGCTCTGCTACTTCAGGGGCTGTCAGCTGAAGAAAGCTGAGCTGGACAATATGTCACAGCTCAGCTAAAACCTCTCTTACCCTGCTAAATCACCCACTGAGCAGTACTGCTGGAGGGAGGGAGGCAGGGCGTACATTATCCTGGGCCAGCTGAGACCACACGCTAAGTCTCCCTTCAACAGTTGTGCTTTTCTCCCCGAGGATGCTTAGTCCCTTAATTTGTTTGCATGTGATAAAGAGCTTCCTTAGAATTGCAGTCATCTGTGCGCAACCACGCTGCAGCAGCTGTCTGAGTTACAGTTTTACCACTAACCGTTACCCATTTGTACGCTCGCTTTTTAATAGAGGAAACTGTAATTGCCCCTACAAGTAGCTTTGGGGGAAAACTTAGAAGAGGCATCACTAGATGTAAATCACAGTTGTTAAGTAACTGTGTCTCCACGCTGCACTTAAAACACACCTGAAATGGATACTTCACTCTTTTCTACAGAGAGAAAAAGAAAGAATTGGAACGTGAAGAGTTGTGGAGAAAGCTAGAGGAGTTAAAGCTTAAGAAGGCTATGGCAGAAAAGCAGAACAGCACTCACAATGTGCTAAACGCACACAATACAAGTGCCAAATAAAAGAAATGACCACCTCTACTCGACAGACATACTCTTTTGTACCCTTTTGAAATATATAAGAATTTGCAAAAGAAACCTCGTCAGTATAATGGAAACCGCCAATTTTTTTCTCTGGCAAATGTAAAGATTTGAATTTAAATACAGCAGTTAAGTGATGTCATTACCACAGCATATTGTAAATTTGTCTAATTATTGATATACTGTCACTTCCAACGTTTCATAGAACAGAATTATCATCCTTAATGAGTGAAATAATTACGGGAGTGGTGAGAGTTATGACTTGAATTTTTGATTGTGTTGCACATAGGTGGTATAGTTTGCTATGTACATTTTTTTCCTTGTTTTATATGTGCTTTTCACATTGCTGCATACTTTGGTTAAGATTATAGAAAAGGCTTCTAGTTGTGCTGTATTTTCTCAAATAAAACTAAGGTACGTTACCAGTAAATTGAGATACTCAGTATGTGCCCCCCTCGCAGCACTGAAATGAACTTGGATGTGGTGCTGTCCTCGAATTCCTGATTGGATTCAGATGTAGATTTGTGTAATGCTCACACTAGAATGAGGCAAAGTAGGGAGAGAAAGTCCGCTTGAGCGGGCTGGGGTGGTCCACAAGTCTGACCTAGCACTCGGTGAGTGCCTCTACCCCCTTCTCGCTGCCTCTTGGTCCTGGGCTACTTAGAGATTTCCTCCTGCTACAGCTGAGGATGGAGCTTCCTCTAGTGAGCCCCATCAATGATGCTCCCCACCAGCCCAAGGACTCCCTGCAGAGTACTGCGGGTCTCCTAGAGGCCGCCTTGGATGTTTCTGTGTTAGTTTTAGCATCTCATAGACTGAAGAATGAGACCAAAATTGGGATTACCCTCCTTTTTTTTTTTTTTTTTTTTTGTAAGGAGGGAAGGATGTCAATAAATAGTTCCTTGTTTTATTTAAAGAAAATGCAGTCTGTTTCTTAAAGGTGGAAAGTTGACAATAGAAGTCTTGTCTGTTTACTTGATCAAGTATTTTTCACATCTTTTATCAGAGTACCATTCCAATCTCTTAAATTGCAGTTGTGTGGAAAACTTTTGTAATGAAAGATCTTTGGGGAATTGAGCAGCATTCAATAAAGTCTTTATGTTTGTATTTAGTGCTGTATATCACATCTTTGTGTTTATAAAGACCAGGGGAATTACAATGGCTTCTATGAACAACCTTTTAACTGCACATGTGTCTGAATAACCTGTGGCTTTTCACGGGGTGGCAAAAGTGTTGGAGGTGCGGGCCACTGGGGTTTCATTTTTATGTGTAGGGTGGAAGGCTTTGTTCTGCTCTGTTCGGTACAGAGCAGGTGGTGCTCAGAACAGCTGAGGCAGGTGTCCTGGGCTCGGTTTACCTGTTGCTTGGCTGGTTTACTGACTTTATTCAAGCAGTTTCCAGGGGGAAAAGGTCTCTACTACGCTGTTTGAGTTGACTTTATTACACTTCTTTTTTTGTCTCTAAGTAGCTGTGTTTCACAGAGGAAACGGGAATAACACTGCCTGCAGTGGCTTACACTTCTAATAGCTCTGTCTGATCAAAACCAATTAATTGCTACTCTCTCCATGTCGGTTTTATGTAAAAAGACTACGTAATCAGCTGACCAAAGTAGACTTTGCCATGGTAAGTGGCTGCCCAAAAATTGGTGGGGGTGTGTGGGAGGTGGGGTGGAAATCCTTTACTTTTCATGGTGCTTCTTGAAGTCCTGAAACCAGATGTTGAACACTGTGGGGCCTGCAAGGGTGCGCTTTGCCAGCTCAGGAGGGAGATGACCGTCATGTGGATACAGTCTTCCTCAGTTTAGTACTTTGGTGCCTTTTTTCCATAGAACAATAAACCCCCCCCAGTGTGAGAGAGAGAAAATATTTTCACCTGTCCTACAGTCTAAAGGAAATAAATTACACAGACATGGGGATTCTAATGCTTACCTTGAAGTGGTACAAAGAACAAATTACTGGCATGTGTAGTTGTTATGAGTTAAAAAAGTTACACGTATGGACATCAAGAATAAGTAACAGAAAAACACTATAGCTGTAAGAGGCCATTTCAACAAATTGTGCAACACTTGCTACTAGAATCACTCCTATAAATAGGTATGTAAAAGAAAGGTTTCTTGGCTCAAATCAGCTGGCCTGCTCTAGTTACAACATTTCCTTAGAAAACAACAAATCTGGATAGCTGAGATGTAGTGACTGAAGCTGACTACTATGGGAATTTTTTTAAAAAAAAAAAGTACATTAAATACTGCAGAAAGGACTGCATCCTTCATTTAACCACACCTCCTACTTACTGCAGAGCTGGGGCTAAGTTGTCTTCCAGCTTACCTTCTCTGACCTCATTAGCAAAAAAAAAAAAAAAAAAAAAAAGCAGTAGGGATGCATCAGTACCTGATCAAATTGTTGTTTTGAAATATTTTTGTAAAATCCAAGAAATAGCTGCTGTAGTATAATTTGTTAAAGGAACACTTGGGTGTTTCTTTGGCAGTGAGGAGTTAGGAAAGTTCAGTTGTCTGTCTTCCCTGTAGAGCAGGCCCTCAGCAGTGTATTTGGGAAAGCAAAGGGCTATAAGCTGACCAGGGAAGTCAGTAGAATGCTCTCCTACCAGCACAGGCTGTTATGTAGCAAAAGCAACCGGGTTTTTCTTGATACGGATGGTCTAAGTGTGTGCTTTTTATTCTTTATTTCCGCCCCCGCCCCAGGTTTCTGTCTCATTCCCCACCACACCAGCAGCTGGGGATGAAGTAACAAAAATTGTTGCCTGAATGGCACCTGTTTTTGCATCCAAATGTGGCGTTTTCCCAGAAGGGTGTGATCCAGTGAGCTCAGGCTACACTGTTCCAATTATGAACCATCTGAAGCACCAACACACGACCTGGGGAAGAGTCAAGAGCAGTAACCGCAAGTGCCAGGTAGGCTGTAACCTCCTCCTGCCCTCTCCCCTGCGCTGCCTGCAGCCACTGCTGCACTTTTGTTTTTCCTCATTACAGTGAATTGTTGCTCCCTTGTTTAAAGCTGTGTTTGGTCAATGCAGTGCCTTGATCTGCTCTGGAAATCAGCTGAAAGTAGTAAATTTTGTTCCAAAATGCTTCCTTAGAATGCAAAAAAAAAAAAAAAAAGTGAGGGGTTACTTTTGATATGCTTACTACTCTATTAATGCTCTGTTAGTAGAGGGTGGAAGAAGCTCCTTTCCTTGCAACAAAGCCTCCAGAGCAAACCCACAGTGGTGCATTGCTGCCCTGTAGGCTCCACAAGTCGGAGTTAGGCATCCAGACTTATAAGGGAGAAAAAGACACCACCACTGCAGCACAGTTCGTTAGCGTGCATTCTCTATATAACAGGGAATCACATTTAAATGCCAGGCTCGTGAAAGACTATTTTTCACTCCCTTAGCAAAGACTGGGGGGAAGAGGGATGAGCAGGAGCCTGAGACAGGCTTTGAAATTGATCATCAGCTCAGATGCCCAGCTATTGAGTTGCTTGAGTTACTTTGAGCTGGACTGATCAGGAATAGATTTTTGGTTTTCGTCTTATCCTCTGCGAGTAATGCTCCTGCCTGGGCTACCTCCAGGTGGTTTCAAAGAATGTACACAGTATCTTATTTGAAGTATTTTTTTTAATATTAAAGTCACTATACTTTAAATCAAAAATGACATATAATTGAATTCCAGTGTATTTTGTTTTAACACATACTTTGGAGAGGGGAGGCCAAACTGTTTTGTTGAGTGCTTTACCTTCCACTAAACGCAGTCAAGGAAGTAACTGCGTTGTGGTAGCAGATGCAGGTCAGCTCATGCAGAAGTTAAATGGTCCCCTGTTCCAAGAAGCATTCAAACACTGTCCATTTTTTTTAGAACTTAACCACTACAGTGGTGACTTCCTGAACGTTAGTGAATTCTCTCCTTTCTCCCTGGTCCCCCATATATTGAGGTAAGCTTGTTAAATTTGGAATAGAAAAGCATGAGTTGGTTAGACCTGTCCTAGAGTTAGCTCCTTTCTGAAGTTCACAGGCCAGTTCACTAGGCTTTTCTTCCAGCTGTTGTTTTTCTGGAAGAAAACATACCTGGTTTGCATCTTTAATTGCTGTATTGCTGATCAAAGTTTATTCCAGTTATTTTCTATCCCTTCTGCTAGGAACAGTTAAAAGGCAGTCTTAGTCTCAGCTTATGTGGTTCATTACTTGACGACTCCTCTTCAGGTGTCTCTTTCGGATTTTGATCATCCACTTGACACTTAACTTAGCAAAGTCTGCTGCTTTAAAAAGAGCCAAAAAGATACCACAAAGAAGAGCAATCATGTTCCAGGGATTTGCTGTGATAATCTGAAAGAGATTAAAAATATTACTCCCCTCATCTGACTCATCATATATTATACCTATTCAATAACAAACAATTCTCTTTTTCTAACTGAAGTGTTTTACAGCATGTTCCTTTACGCTGCAAAGGTGGCCTGTTGTGCCTTCTCTGCACATCTGCCTCACGCCATGGTTTTCCGATTCCTTCCATCAGGAAGAAAACACGCTGTACTAGCTGCTAAATTCCTTTTAGACTATTTCAGGACACTGACTTGTTTAAAACTTTAGAGATACAGTTAAATTGCTAATTTTAAGGTTATAGATTAAATTTACTATATTATTTAAAGATTTACAAAAATAAGCAGTCACATTAAAGATCTTCCACAAGACAAAGCTATAAGAAGCAACTGCTGGAAAGCTTTAACAAGACAGCATTGTAATGCTAAACCAGCTTTTTGACAGCAGCAACTGTTTCTGCAGATCTACAGCAAGTATTTTCTACTTCTTTTTTTAACTACATTTGGTTCAAGAGTAGGTAAGTTTGTGTATAGTTTGCAATCCTCCTCGCACCTCTAGGCACAAGGATGACTTTTAGGATCTCAGATGAAGCGAGCAGAGCTAGACTTAGGCAGCAATGAAGTAGACACAGCTTTGGGACTCGCCACGGAGTATGCAACTCTGACAGTCAGCATGAGCATAGCATCGCTAGGTCACCACCAGAGCCAGAAGGTCTTAAGCAGGCTTTCTGTATTTGTTAAACCTCCTAAAAGCAGCAGTGCTGGCCACCAGTGCTTGTGAACTACTGCCTCTTCAGCAAGAGGAAGCGAGCACCCCCAATCCCCCGGATCGAGGGCAGCTGTCAGCTCGAAGACAGCAGAGGTGCAAACCCCTTTTGGCAGAGCGGAGCGAGAGGTGCGGGAACAGGACTGGGCTCTGGAGGCTGAGGAGGGTGCCCAGCCCTGGCACGGACACTGCAGCAGGAGTGCAAAGGACCAACCACCCAATCCTGCCCCGCATGGTTTGCACTCACGCTCTGGTTTTGGGCAAGAAAACAAAGAACGCTGCGGATTTTGCTGGTGATGGACTTTGGTTGTCAGGTAGGGTAATGTTAATGCAAAATTTTTAAACAGGTTGTCTTTGCACACCCTGCTATTCTACATTTTTCTGAGGAGGGCAAATGCATCTGACCTTCTCCCCTAAAACACTAGGAGAACAAGAGCTATCTCGCATGCTTGAAGCACACGTACCCACAGTGCACACCTGCACACCTTTCAGGCACTCCAGTGACTGATTGCAGCCTTGTCTGGCACATCATACGCCTCTGGCTGCAGCATATGGAGCTAAATTTCAAAGTGCTTTTTGTGCATTTGAATGCAGTACCCAATTCTATTCTAATAATAGATAAAAAAAATACACTAGGCTATTTTTACGATTCTGATTTAAGCCTAAGTTTCCTGCTTGTCAATTAATAAAAAAAGTCATTAAATCACTTTATCCAAGCACACTTATGTAAGCAAAAAGTTCCGACTTGACCTGAAGCTACACTTTGCTACAGCACAGGGGACACAGGCTTTTTCTTAGTTATGTGTACCTCTAGCTGCAAACAGAATGCTGAGTGTCACCAAGGCAAGGGAAAGGCATCAGATGGTCTTGACCTCTGCAGAACATGCATTACTTCATATAAAGAAGAGCCTAGACTGAAATTTCAGAAGTAACCTCACTCTTCCTCTGAATTTCTGCTTGGAGTGAGATAACAGAGGCATGTGCACACACGCACACGCACGCACAAACCATGAGCACATACAATTCAAAAAGGGACTAGCGTTACTCACGTCTTGAACAGTCTGTATAAAAGGATCTTTCCATTCGAATACCACAAAAAACAGCTGGTCACTTCTTGGTTTAGTTCTCTGGTCAATATAGTTAACCACACTAGTCTGGAGAGAGGGAAGAAAAACCCGGGCAGATTACTTTCTTCAGTGGTGTAATGAGTCTTCTGTGCAACAGCAAAGGCTTGTAAGAAGGTGAAAATAGCAGACAGTTTAGGGACTTCCAATTCAGCCTTCCCCTACCTGGAGCAATAGGCTCCCAAAATATGGAAAGGGTGGTTTCCTCCATCTGTCTCATGTTCATATTCTTTTCCTATTTCTCACTCAGTAAAACACTGCAATACCATTTTTACGCTGGTAGCCAGGGCCTTTGTTTTATTACATAGTTTTTCCCTTTCAAGGGGCGAAATTTCATTTACAAAATTAATTTACTTGGAGTAACACAGCATTTGGAGAGTTCTTATGAATGAATGCTAAATTACTTTTATTTACCAGAGAAGGACACAATGATGGCAGGAAGAGTTGTTTAGGTTGTTTTTTTTTTTTTTAAAACAGTTGTGTAATAAACTAGAAGATGCCAGCAAGTGCAGAATGAAAATGGAAGGGAAAGAAGCCTAAATGTAAACTATTAAAACCCCACTTGCCAGTACTGCCTATTAACTAGGTTACCATTTGAAACTAGCGCTGACCAGCAGAGCGCTTTAGCACAATTCCACCAGGATACAGTTTAGGATACCAGATCGATGTTACAGCCACATGAAACCATAGTCTTAAGAACCACAATCAGGAAAGTATTAAGCCATCAGGCCTCAGAAAAACATTTATCTTGTCTTGTCTTGTAACACCCCCCACCAGCCCAGAGGGGAACTACACGGGGTTTGTACACAGGCAGTAACAATGCAGTTTGCACTAACCCCCCTGCTGCTAGGGGACAATATAAACCACTAAAGAGCCATGCAGCTACCTAACAGGCAAGCACACTGGAGTTACAGCTGAACAAGTGATGGAAGGACTTCTCCCTTCTCCAACCCTCAAAGGAGTATTTACATCTTGGTGTGTGCACAAGGGAGTACTGCTGCTGTTCCTACACTAGGTTTAATACTGTACTGGAAGTAATGAATCCAGCAGTACTGTAACTTCATTTCAGGATTGTGACAGGAACTACAGCTATGAAAACAGTGATTCAGCAGACACTGTATGAGGCATGACTACTACAAAAACCTCCCATCTGCTATGGCTTAGTTTCTTTACAAATACTTAAAGATTTCTATCAGTCTTCACCATACCCCCTGCCCTTACCAGATTTTAGGCTGTGAACGTGTAGAAGCAGGAGCTAGAACATCGTATGTGTCCATTCAGAGCATATGGGAGCTTCAACACATCATGTTTTCTGGTCAAACGCCTTTGCTGGAGACTTACCCTATACTTCTACAGCTCATTTAGTTATTGCAGCATGCCATCACCCCAACTACACTCATTCAAGAAAACTGCACACCAGGAAACAAACAGTACACAAAGCTAAATGAAGGCAATGGGAAAGGAAGAACAGACAAAGTGATGACTACTGGGCTAGTTAGCAGACTAACTGTCTGCGCTATTTGACCTAATACTTGTATCCATCTTTCTGGTATGCTGTAGATCTGAAAGGCAGATGGACTTCCTTATGCGATTTGAGCAGACGTACTGTCAAACAAAGCAAGTGCAATTCATGTCAGAGCTATTTCAACTTCTACTCTATTAATAGGGATCTGAAACCCCAAATTCACATTTGTACCAATTCCTATTTCCTAGGTTTTATTTTTAAAAAAAATAAAAACCACCCCACAAAACAAGACCAAGAAAACTCCACCGCAGTGTTCACCTACCCAGATGATCAGAGAGTCGGTAACTGCTGGACTAAATGGACGTTTAGGGTCACAAAAAGCTCAGCTTTTTCTGAGTTGAGTCAGCCTTTTGTCTCTGCTTTGCGACATGTTAGAGTTGGGCACACAAAGGAGGACTTTCAAAAGTCCTACACTAGGAAGGTACCAAATGGCAAGTGATACAGAGCTGTAGGTGATGAAGGACAGACAGACAACTGCTGTTAGCGCTTACATGGCAGCAGCTGACTGATGCATCCTTTCCTCTCCTCCAAACTAAGGCATTAGTTTGGGACTTGCATGACTTTCAGGCTTTGCCTGCTGTCCTCCTCCAGCGGAGCAGGAGGGTGCCCACCTCAGTCACAGCTCTGCTCTTCCCTTAAGGCTTTGCCACGTAAGGCCCTAACTGTGGGAATTAAAGTTAGGAGAATTGAAGATTCTGCTTCATTTTAATCTCCACAAAGTACTCTTTCCAAGTGTACCATAGACTAAGAGACAGTGTTGCCTCTGAAACACATGCTCTCTGTAAACGACTGCTCTTAAAATTCTCATTTCTCATCACCAATGAGACTCTTTCTCCCCAGCCAACACTGGTAGCAAGATAACAAACTCAAAACACAGTTAGTCTCCCGTCCCTTAGTAGGAACAGAACAGGAATGAAAGTCAAACTCATTTAATCTCAAGCTAAGTTTGCATCTTCCACCTGCATATCTTCTAGTTTTAAATGATGCAAGAAGTTACTCCGTATTTCTAGGGATACTCAACAGATAAAAATCCCAAACCCAAACAAAAAGCAGACATGAGAGCGCTACAAAGGGTACAAGGCTTATGTTTACCTCTTCATCCTAACATCAGCCCTTGTGGTAACCTAAACAATACCTCTTTCCAATACTGGCTATTACTTAGACAAGTCTTTTGGCAACTGTTCCCCACCTTGAACTAAAGGTAGGTGTGTTAATATTTCTATGTCAGTCTCTTCAGACCCTTAACTCAGACTACAGCTGTCACTTGTAACACATTCAAGGCCTGGATTTTCTGGCCTCCCCCTGAGGAGATGTTTTCTCGAGACATGTCACTAGGCCATACCAACAGCCACACACATCAAAACTTTTATGCTTTTACAGAACCTCTCCATGTCAAGAAAGAGTTCAAGTAACTGTACAGCCAAAACTGCTCAGTGGCAAGTGGCGTAATAGATGCAATGAAACAAACCCCAAGCTCCTGATATTTCGCTTACTTAACCAACCCACCCACCCTTCTTCCAACTCGTATTGCTGTTTGCCCCAAGAACTGGTTCTGTTGGCCAGTTATCTTTAAAACCATGGCAGTTCTAAACTAAACTAAAAACTCTCTAAACTAAGAGGTCTCAAAAAACTCTTCCTGAGGATTTTTTTTTTACCTCTTGTTTGAATTCAACAGTCTCACTACCATCTTCTTCTTTCGTTTTCACCAAGGACATCTTGACCCAAGTTCGAAAGCCTCCGGAAAACTTCCAGCTGGAGTATGAACTTTCACAGTCCTTCATGAATTCTGCTTTTTCTGGACTAAAGGAAAAAGACCATTGCTTTACTGACCAAACTCAAAGCAGTATCTGAGCACTGTAGGCAGGAAAATGTCAGACCTAGAGGCACGTCCTAATCTATTCACAATTCCTTTTATGCTTCCGCTGCTAAAATTCAGCATACCTAAAACATTGCTAGTAGTGATGTTTTCATTAATGGTAGCACTTGCACTCGCGTTCTTAACTGTGGAAGACTTACCTGGTGCCCTACTACCCTAGAGTTCTGCCTTTCCCTAGAGATTGTTCTGCCTTACAGGGAAGCTTTGTTCTGCTCATCTGCCATCTCCGGGACAGAAAGGAGCAGAGCCAGGACCCCAGGAAACAACTTGCCACAATGCTAGGAAGCAAGAGATGGAAGGAACAGCCTAGAGGCAGGGCAGGCTGCTTCTCCCCATTTCTGGGATGCAAATAAACTGGTTGCAATGCAGACATACCTGAAATGCTTTGAAATTGACATTTACTGTATTCCCATTATTTTGGGAACACTATACCTTTGGTGTAAGGCTCCCATCTGTAGTAACATGGCTGTTTTCCCAGTATGCCATCACAGATATTTGTACCCCCAGAACAGCAGGATTGCTTTGTGCCTTTTTTAAGGTTTCCAATACCCCTCACACCGCAAGCAGTAAAGAAGCAGCTCTAAGGCATATCTGGTCTCCATCCTGTCTCTACCAACTGCACAGGACACAGTGTGTTAACACACTATTTACTCGGAGCTTCTCAGTACTGTGATTTTAGCAACTTTCATGTCATCTCTATGAAATAAGCTTGGCCCTGCAGCTGCTTTTTCAACAAGGTTTCATTTGAGATGAAGGGGTAAACCACTGTGATGAGTCATGAATCATTAAAGCACAGACTGCTGATTTTTACTGAAGACAGGATTTCAGGTTGCAGAGATATGTCAGGGTATGCCGGTCCTTGAGACAAGGGAAAGGGTTTTGACTCAGATTAAATCCATTCTCCTAGGTGAAGGGAAACTTTGCTCATACGGCAGAGGGTGTGCACGGCTAAGTCTATTGGGAAATTAAGGTATTTTGGTCTTTCAAAGAAAGATGCAAAGAAGTGAGGAAGAAAAGCAGAGCTGAAGAAGCAAGTTCTCATCCCAAAGAAGAGACCAATCAGGAAGCTTTGTCCTGTATCAGCACTGGGTGGATTTGGATTTTTCCTGTTGTTCTGGGTTTTTTTTCCTCCTTAGTTTTCCAAACTGGGGCTCCTTCCTACAAACTGAGATGTCTTCTCTAGAAGGCAGCAAGAGCACAGACTGATAACAAGAGTATCATACTGATGGCTACGCTGTACTACACTGCCTGCTCAGGCTTAACAGATGAAAATGCACATGATCATAGGAAAGCAAAACTTACAGAATCATAGAATCGTTTAGGTTGGAAAAGACCTTTAAGATCATCCAGTCCAACCATTAACCTAACATTACCAAGTCCACACTAAACCAATTAAGGGTAGACTAGACTAAACCATGTCCCAAAGTGCCACATCTACCTGTTTTTTGAACGCTTCCAGGGATGGTGACTCCACCACCTCTCTGGGCAGCCTGTTCCAATGCTTGACTACCCTTTCCATGAAGAAATGTTTCCTAATATCCAATCTAAACCTCCCCTGGCGCAGCTTGAGCCTGTTTCCTCTCGTCCTATCGCTAACTACTGGGGAGAATTTAGAACTTAGCAAAGCCATTGCTCTCAAGTCAGGGCTTCAGGTGATGGGCTCAAACACAGAACTCCATTGTGCATACAAACATAAAGGAGAAGCGTTTCTGGAAAGAAAAACTAATACACTTTGCTACCCATCAAGACAGATGATATTCCAAGAGTGTTTTAGCAGGTTAGGAATATCGTTATGGATGTGTGACATTAGCTGCTTGTTTAGTGATCCCAACAGGATGGCAGTGCACCTCTCTAACCCTCACAAGGAAGACATGAGCAAGGCATCAGAACAAAGCCCACTGCCTGACTGCTCCTCACCATACAAACCAATGACATAGGGAGACCTAATCTGACAATGATTTCTTCCCTCTTCAGTTAAGTGGGTACAGCAGCAGCTGACGGGACAGTATGGAAGAGCAGGGTGCTTTGCCACTCAGAGGAACATACATAATTAGCACTCTGCCAGCCAGTCATATGCCTAATGCATGACTAAATACAGCATCCTAGAAAAGGTTTCCAAACCAACATGGAAAATTGAGGCAGGAAGTTATGACACAGAACTGAATGTTACAGCCACAACTTACATGGTAAGCAGGCAGCAGCAGTATACTTTGCCTTCAACAGTAATTGTAGGCTTGAAAAAGAAAGATTAATAGTATCTTAGGAGAAGCTGTGGAGAAGTGATCTGAGAAGGCATCTCCTTGCCTGTGCCCATAATCCAGACCACTGCCACAGTCAGGAAATAAAAGCCGGGGGAGGGAGCGGAGCAGAGGGGCACAAGCTTTGCACAAATGATAGCAGAGGGCAAATAATGCAGCTTAAAAACCACACACAACTAAGTGAACACAAGACAGCCAAGGGATTTTAATCCAAAAAACAATTCTCCAGGCAATTTCTTTTAATTCCCTCATCACCCCAAAGACAGACAACCTGCAACAGCTGCACAATTTTTTTTTTTTTTCTTTTCTGTTCAGCAAGTTCTTCAACCTATGACACTGTCCTTTAGATGTATGGTAAGATTCCTGGAATACTCTGCACCAGGCTCTCCCAAGATATTAATGGCACCTCAAGACCATACAAAAATTCCTACATCACAGCAGAGAAAGAGAAGTGCAAGATGCTGCTGTCTCACTTGGGTGAACCACAAAGCCCTCGTCTGCCCTCAGCCAATGCGCTCCGACAGTTCAAACAACCAGCAGAGAGGCCATTGCCCTAGCGCAGAGTGATCAACATCAGACCATGAGAGACTGTATTTGTTCCAGCTGCAGGAGCTGCTAACCTAATTCTGCACTGGGCTCTAGCTCTGCAGTGGATCCTTCTAACACCGATCTCTATGGACCAACCCACAAGAGCCAGAGACAGCTTAGGACGTCCCACCAGCAGATGCCAATGCAACAGCAAGAGCCAAAACCACAGATGGGCCAAACCCCATTTGTGTTTATTGCTTTTGCTTTCCCCTAGACTGGGAAACTCTCAGATAGCCATGGGATCTAAAATAAAGGGTCAGATGGTGTGGTACCAAAAGTCTTGACCGTTCTATGTTATAATTTATTTCTCTGCATGCAGCAATCCAGACCAGAGACATGAACATGGAGCTCTGTTTAGACCCTTAAATAATCTCTGACCTGTTTGGACTGGTATTCATCATCTCACAGGACCATAAATTACTTTACATGCTACACTAACAATAGTTTGTCAGTAATATGTTCAGAGGATTTTCTCCTTAAACCCATGTATTATTCTAATGACAGTTCAGGAAAGGAACTTGTATTTTTAGCTACACTTTTTTGGTAATTTGCAAGGGTTTCATTATTTCCTTCCCTCCAATTAATATGGTACAGACAGCAGCTGCCACTGTCTTAAAAAAAAAAAAAAAAAAAGCCAGGTGCAGTATCCCTGCAACTCACAGGCCAACAATAGCACACAGTTCAGCAGTGTTCTGTGAAGACCAGAACAAAACTAGCAAGCAGTGCCAGTTTCATGTAGTCTGTCGATCCAATTTTAACAGAAGAGCTGCAGAGAATAAAACCCTTGACAGAAACAACTAGACCTTACTCAAGTCCTCAGCACTTGCTATGCCTCAAAAAACCCTTACAGACACCAGTCTGTAGATGCCATTTCTATTATTGCTTATGGCTGATGCTTGCAGCAGCCTTCACCAATATCATTATTGGTATTTAAAGCAAAAGTGAGCTGCACATAACACTGTCTACACAGAAACCATGGTGTAGATACAGCAGAACTCTTCTCACCAATTTCAAGGGGGTTTGGATTGTGATTTAAGATGATGGAATACCCTACACATGTATTTTACAGCAGCCTGCCTAAGCTGTTTGCAGCTGTGGCAAAAAAAGGTAAAGGTAATTATGATCTCTCATGAGCTTTAGCATGTATCTCAGCATCTTTGATAACACTTTACATGAATGGCTGGACACAGTGCTAATAGTATGCTCCCATAACCAGTAAGTGAGACACTGTCAGGAAAATTATTTAACAGCAGCCAGTAATTGAAGTTTTTAGAGGCCGTATGGAAGGACACACAACAGTTTCTACAGATATCTTAGTCCAGACTTCCCATTGGCTAAATTTAGCATCTGCTGATGAACCAGAAATAATTTCTATTTTCTCTTCTGCTGGAAGTTGGGACAGAACGAGTACATTCCACATATGCACGCAGTTTCACATGCAATTCATAGTCAGGAGAAAATGTAAACTTTCAACCTGCCCTGAGCCAGTCCAGTTCATGCCCTGAGACACCAGGACAGCAATACACAATACTGAGCAAGACAAGCCATACAATTTGTACCAAGCTTTGGAGGATGCTATAAGAGAGACACTACTGGCCTCCTGCACACAACTGGTTCTGTTACTGTATTTCACATAGACATGCAGATCATTTACTACTAAGTTTAAAGGCCTATATACCTTTGCCAATTTTACCATTATCTGGGTTAGTTCAAAAGCAGTTTTAACTCGCATT